AATCTTGTGTCCGGATCGAAATGAGAGCGAAGTCTCGAACTATAAGTTTTTGGTCCTTATGCCTTTCGAAGTTGGCCATTGGGCTCTTATATATCGGCCCTTAGGCTCTTTAAAGTTAGCCCTTAGGCCATGTTCGATTGGGGGAGAACAAAACTGTGAGGGCGAAGCCCAAAGCGGACAATATATGCACAGTGTGGGCCGGGTCGTGACAGTTGGTATCAGAGCCGACTCTCAAGAAGTACGATGGGTGGGTACCCACAACGAGGACGTTGTGTTCTTGTTGGTGGGGTGAGTACAGTACAGGTGCTGTAGCACTCCTGTAGCTTGCAGGAATCCCACATCAGAAAAGAGAGGGGAAGTCCTGGGCTATATTAGTAGGACTTGGACCTACATGTGCATAGGCCTTTTCCCCATGCTCGATTGGGGGAGAACAAAACCGTGAGGGCGAATCCCAAAGCGGACAATATATGCACAGTGTGGACCGGGTCATGACAGTTGGTATCTTTAAGTTGGGCGGTCTCGGCCTCTAAAATAGCTATATAATTTTTCCCTCATTTCGGCTAAAAGACTTAGTGAAAATTTAGTTATGCCTTAGCATGTGTTTTTGTACCCGTTGGATTTTTCGAAGGTTCGATGTATCGAGACCTTGTTTGTGTACTGATAATCGAATATCTCTTGAGGTTTTATTGAGGGTTGGTGTTATCGAAGCCTCTATTCGAGGGCTGAATTTATCAACACCCATTAAATTATTCGGGGACTGAATTTATCGAAACCCATTATATTTTACTTTTGCCGAGGGTAGCCTGATTTAACCGGTTTTTACAAAGTGTTTGAAGGCCTTTACTTAATAGTGGAAGTTGGATGTTTTTGAGCCGCATTATTTGGTAGTAGCCTTTTTATATGACCGTGGTCTTTTAATATAGCCGTAGCCTTCGGGTATGTCACTTGGGCTTGTTTCCCGATAACCTTTCTAACTTGTCCGAAAAGTTAGTCCCCAAGTATATTGGTCTTGGCCTTTTTTTTGAGGAGGTGCCCCTTTGAGGTCTTATGAGTCCGAGTTTTCGATGATTCAGATGTACCGACTGTCAACGATAGTCCCCGAGTGTTCGGGGGTGCTTTTATGCTTTGGCTCTTGAGCTATTTCCCGTAGGATTATATGTTTAGAGCTCGTATAATAGTAAACTTTTTGGAGATACAAAGTATTTTTTATATTAACACAATGCTTCTTCAAATGATTGATATATGCGTACATGCTTTGCCGTCGAGGCTCTATTATTCTATATGGACACGGTTCTTCCGACCTTTTGGCCCATTACAAAGTTTTCCTATCGAGACCCTCTTTGGCTTAAAGTATTTTCCTTGAAAATATAACCTCCAAGGGAAATGCCCCCCAGTATTAGAGTTTGATTAAAAAGAAGCTTTGGATACTGTTGAGTTCTTCTTAGGTAGCACGTAGTTGTTGCCTCGTTAAAAACCTTGCCGGTAAAGTCCATTTGGGATAAAATCCAATTTAAGGGAAAAAGAGTGCAACACATGATTTAAAACCTAAGGTCTAAATGATGATGCCTTCGGGATCGTATGCCTTCGATAGCTTCGATCTGAAATCTGTAATGAGTTAGTTTTAAACTTAAATAGATAAAAGGATAAAATCATACCAGAGCAGTAGTACCGTTTGAGTAATGACATGTTCTAATTGTTTGGCAGTTGTTCACCTTCTATTGTGCTAAGTTTGTAAAGTCCCTTACCAATAACTCCGGGCCCAATTTCCCTTCATTTGGGTCTTGAGTATTGAGGGCGGCCTTTCGAACAACTGCTGCTTCTCATTTTTCATCTATCTTTGGGATATGAAGCAAAGGCGGGCTGGACAGATATCGCTTTTAGTTTTGCTGACATTTCAGGGTTCATGCGAAATCCCTTTTCTTTTTAAGTGAAGAGAAGAACCGGTGACTCTGATCCGACGACCTTGAGATGTACCGATGCAAAGCTGCCCCTCTTAGCACGGCCTCTACATCATCCACAATCGTGATATCCTCGGTAGCTTTGATCTTATCAGGGTTATTCTGATACCCCGATTTGACACTGTGAAGCCGAAGGACTTACCCGAGCCAAGTTCGAAGGCATATTTCTCCGGGTTAAGCTTCACGTTGAATTTCCTCAAGATTGTAAACGTTCCCTGCTAATGAGCTAAATGGTCCTCTGTGCATAGGGACTTAACCTACATATCATCGATATAAGTTTCCTTTGTTTTGCTTATTTGTTCTTCGAACATTTTGCTAACTAGGCGTTGGTATGTAGCTCCTGCATTTTTTAGCCTGAAGGGCATGAAGTTGTAACAATAAGTTCCAAATTTAGTAATAAACAAAGTCTTTTCCTGGTCCTCCGAGTTTATCTGAATGCTCGGGGTAGGCACCGAGAAGAGTTAGGGTCTTGTGGCCAGCCATGGCATCGATCATGCGATCGATGCTAGGCAAGGGGAAAGAATATCTAAGACATGACATGCTTTGATCAAGTCCTTATAATCTATGCACATTCTGAGTTTGTTTCCTTTTTTAGGAGCTACAACTATGTTGGCTAACTACTCGTGGTACTTTACTTCTCGGATAGATCCTATTTTAAGAAGTTTAGTTACCTCGTCTTTTATGAAAGCATGCTTTACCTCGGGCTGAGGCCTCCTTTTTTGCTTCACTGGTTTGAACCTAGGATCGGTGCTCAGCCGATGCGTGGGGATTTCTAGTGGAATCCCTATCAGATATAAATGGGACCAAGAAAAGCAACCATATTATCAATAAGAAATTGAATAAGTATTTTCCTGAGTTCGGGAGTTAATCCTGTTCCTGGGTGTACCTTTTTCTCGGGCATATATTCGATCAAAATGACCTGCTCCAGCTCCTTGATGGTTGATTTGGTTGCATCAGATTATTCGGGAATGACGAAGGTTCGAGGAGTACGGAAATCCTCATCTTCGTCTCCGATTACCTGTTGCTCCGATTCTATCGAGGCCGGAGGCAATGATTTGCTATTTGACTATCTATTTACCTCCGATGCTCGATTTCTCCGAGGTCGAAGGCTCTGGTATCGACACCACCTCCTTGATCGCAAATATCTCCTTTGCAACATGTTGCTCTCCGTAGACCGTTTTCACTCCTTCCTCTGTTGGAAACTTTATCATCTAGTGAAGAGTTGAAGGCACTGCCCTCATATTGTATATCCATGGTCTCCCGAGGAGCGCGTTATACCTCATATCACATTCGATGACATGGAACTTTGTATCTTGTATGGTCCCGGCTATGTTTTCTGACAGGATAATCTCTCCCTTTGTTATTTCGCTTGCCATGTTGAAGCCATTCAGGACCCGAGATGCAGGTACAATCTGATCTTGTAGGCCGAGTTGTTCTACGACCCTTGATCTAATTATGTTTGCTAAGATA